TGAACCTATTTTTTTTTTTTTTTTTTTTTTTTTTTTTTTTTAGTGAGTTCAAAAAAATATAAATGAAAAGAAAAAAAACTTAGAATATGACAAAGAAGTACTCCAGACCACAACCAATCTGGATCCCATTTCCAAATTATCCCCAACAAAAGGAAAATAGTGCTTTCTTTTCCCATGGTTTCTCTACATCCAAACGGGGGTACTAGAGGATAATATTAGAGAAGTTTAGTAGAGACATAATAGACTTTATCATGAATATAGCTATATATTCTTCTTGCTAGAATTTTGACAATTTTTTGTTTTTTATCTTTTATGATAGGTTACTAGACAAAATAATTAAGCAAATGGTGATGGATAAAGAATGGATGCACATGACTTACAGGTTATTATATGTAGTGGAGTGTGCTTATAAAAGTTAATATTGTCTACACGAATTTTATGTTTAATTAAATGTTAAAGCTTTAATTTTATAGAGTTGATCCAAAGTATTTAGAAGGAGCACAGAGGTTTGCTGATTAGGCGCAAGCGAATGCGGGCCATCCAGAAAAGATTTTATGCCCTTGTAATTGTTGTCTAAATGCAAAGCACCAACACTTCGACATGGTGCTTAGTCATTTATTGGAAAATCGAATGGATCAATCATATACGATCTGGTACTTTCACGGGGAAAATCTGAGTGAATCTCCCTAACATGGAAGTGATGTAAATGACGTTGAAATGCCAGAGACGTATTAGATGTATAGAGATATTTTCTTTGATGGTGGTGATGATGTTTCGGATCCAAACTATGAAATAAGAGAGGCTGAGTTTAAAAAGGAGTTGGAATATGTTGAGACCCCTTAATTTCCAGAGTGCACAAAGTACACGGTTATGTCTGCAATTGTTGCCTTATACAAGCACAAAGCAACAAATAATTTATCCGACACTGGTTTTGATGGACTTCTTCAAATGTTTGGGGATATGCTTCCAGAAAATAACAAACTTCCTAAGAGCTATTATGAAACGAATTTTTTTTTGAAGACATTTGATTTAGGATATGAGAAAATAGATGCTTGTAAGAATGACTATTATCTATTTAGAAAAGAGAATAAGCACATGACTAAATGCCCAAAATGTGGTGTTTCGCGGTGGAAAGAGAATGAGCGTACTAAGAAGGTTCAAAATGGTGTCCCAGCTAAGGTGTTGCGGTACTTTCCAATAGTACCAAGGTTTAGAAGAATGTTTTGATCCCCTGAAATAGCAAAACAACTAACGTGGCATTCAACTCATAAAAGTGGGGATAGAAAAATACGACATCCGGTTGACACGCCTGCATGGCATACGATAGATAAAAATGGCCTTCTTTTGTATCAGATTCACGAAATTTAAGACTTGGCCTTTCAACTGATGGGTTTAATCCATTTGATGACCTTAGTTCGGTATATAGTTGTTGGCAGTAACATTGGTGGTATATAATCTTTCGCCACTTGAACTCATGTCTAAAGAAAATATGATGTTGACATTACTAATCCTAGGGCCGAGGAAACCGGGGAATGATATAGATGTGTATTTGGAGCCACTTATAGATGATTTGAAAGAGCTATGGGAGAAAGGCATGGAAATTTATGATGCATTTGCAAAGTCCACATTTAATTTGAAGGTAATCTTGATGTGGACAATTGATGATTTTCCAGCTTTTAGTAACCTCTTTGGTTATGTTACAAAGGGTAAAAAAGCTTATCCAACATGTAGTGATGACACATGTTCAAAGAGGTTGAATTATAGCACCAAGACCATTTACTTGGGTCACCGTCGATGGCTATCTCCTACTCACCCATTTCGAAAAAAGAAGAGTTGGTTTGATGGGAGTGAAGAACATAGGTGGAAGCCTAAAATATTGTCTGGGACTGAAATTCTTCATGCTATGAAAAATATTAAAAATGATTGGGATAAAAAAGAGGGGAAAATTACATATCAAACCAAAAAATTGGAAAGTGGAAACAAAAGACAAAAAAAGGACGAAAGTGTGGCGTGGAAGAAAAAATCCATATTTTTTGAATTACCATACTGGGAGGTAAGTATTTGTTATAGAAAGTTGTTTATTTAAAAAAAAAAAAAAATTAAAATTAAAATATTATTTATTTAAGTTTATAATATGTTTAAAAAAAAACTATTATTCCATTATTTGTGTTTTAGGTATTACTCGTTCGCCATGACTTAGATGTCATGCATATTGAGAAAAATGTTTGTGAGAGTATTATTGGCACCCTATTGAACATAAAAGGAAAATCAAAGGATGGACTCAAGTCTCGTATGGATTTGGAGGAAATGGGCATTAGGGGGGATTTGCACCCACAAGATTCAAAAGGGAAACATTTCTTGCCACCAGCACCTCATACACTAAAGAAGGAAGAAAAACAACTTTTTTGTAAACGATTACAACAATTAAAGCCACCAGACAGTTACAGTTCAAACATTGGGACACATATATCATTGGATGAATGCAAGGTTGTAGGGTTGAAATCTTATGATTATCATGTCCTAATGCAATAATTACTACTGGCAGCGTTACGAGGAATTCTACCAAAGGGTGTAAGGAATGCCATATTTCGCCTATGTGCATATTTTAATGAAGTATGCCAAAGGGTGATTGATAGGAACTCAATGGAAAGATAGGAAAATGAAATTGTTGAGACATTGTGTATGTTAGAAAGATTTTTTCCTCGATCTTTTTTCGACATTATGATTCACTTGACTATTCACATCGCACGCGAAGCTCGTATTTGTGGACTAGTACAATTTCGTTGGATGTACCCATTTGAAAGGTACTAATATCAACTTTTCCTTCTTTTATGTAGTTAGATATTTAATATTATAACATATATATAATTTTTTTTTTTTTTTTTGTGTTTTAGGATGATGAAGGTTTATAAAGGATATGTTAGAAATAGGGTAAGACCTGAAGGATGCATAGGTGAAGGATATTTGGCTGATGAGTGTGTGCAATTTTGTAGTGAGCACATCAAACAAGCTTCTAAAATAGGGGTGAGACATTCTCGAAATGAGGATTTTGAAGGTGAGACAACAATAGATGGCCGTCCAATTTCGAAGGGAATTTTGAAAATCATGTCGAATGACATGTTACAAATTGCTCACCGTTATGTCTTATTCAATAATGCAGAGGTGGAACCGTACATAGGGTAAGTCTGATATCTTCAGGACTTATTAATTTGTTATTGAAATAACAATGAAAACTTACCTATAGTGTTTGCCTTACAGAAAACATTTGGAGGAGCTTAAGCAGATGGACAGGCATCTCATAAGGAATGTAAGCGCATTACAAAAGAAACATATGGAGACTTTTTGTTTGTGGTTTGCAAATGAAATTAGTGTAACTGGTAGTGATGTGTCTGATACACTTATGTGTCTTGCAAATGGGCCTAGAAGAGAAGTCATTTCAAATTCGGGATATATTGTTAATGGACAACGATTTCACACCAAGGATGTGGAGAGAAGCACACAAGATAGTGGTGTTTCACTTGAAGCGGAAACTATATGTCAATCTAGTGCAAGAGATACAAATCAAGTTCTAGGAAAAGTATCTTACTATGGTGTTTTAAAAGATATACTTTTGTTAGATTACCACACATTTAAAGTGCCAATCTTTGATTGTGAGTGGGTAAACATTAGAAATGGCATCAAAGTTGAAGATGGATTTGTATTAGTTAACCTCCATGAAGGTCAAAGTTAGTTTCAAAGTTATCCCTTTATTCTTGTTTCACAGGCTAAGCAAGTTTTTTATTCAAGGGAAGATGAAACATCAAATTGGTATGTTGTACTTAAAACGCCGCCAAGAGGTTTTAATGACTTGGAATCTTTTGAAGAAAATACTTATGTGTCTTCTATGCCATTAGATGTATCAAGATTGGACTCAAATGATGATGATGATGGCAATGAAGAGTATGTGTGGTTCGATTGTGAGGGCATGACCGTGTCGATGTATCAAGATTTTACTGGAAGTCATTTTATTTTATTTTATTTTGGAACTTTGTTTATGTAATAGCCTTTTACTATCTTATGTTACATAAATCAGGTTTTTTGCATTCTATTGTAGTGCTTTATGACATGTCTTCTTGTAACTTTACACCTCATTCACTCTTTTTATCTTTTAAATACTACTCCATATAGGCTTTACTTTTGTTTAAATAACTTATACACATGTTTTGTGGGTCCATCTGAAGGTGTAGAACACCCTCAATATCATCTATATTTGCAAGAACATATATGTATTTTTTATATTTAAACATTCTTATGCATCTTGTATTGTCTGGACCCTGAGTTCTATCACCAATACACTGATATGCAGGGTAAAAATGACATGTAATGTTATGCTTGAAATATCTATGGCTTGAAATACTTTGTTTACTTTTTTTTCTGGAACTTTTTGTTTTTAAAAATAGGTCATTCTCATTAGAAGAGCAAAGGAGTAAGAATTGAAGAGGGAAAAAGATAGATAAATTTCAGCATGCGTGGTCCCGCAGAACTAAGTAATTAATACATCGATTTTAAATTATATTTTTGTTGCCTCGTATTAAATTTTAATGGTTTTTCTTATTTTCTTATCTTGCATATGTTCTCATATAAAGTCCTTTAAAGTGGGTGCAAAAAGAGGACTAATAGAGAGGAATTGTATTGTGGCTGCATTAAGGACTTTGGGAAATGAGGGAATTACTATATCAGATCGAGATTCAAACTCTCCCCATACACAGTTAGGTGGACAATCTAGAGGTTCTAGTGGGGTTCCAATCGATCATGATAGTGGAAGCACCTCAGCAAATGATGCTTCACTAACCCCCTCTACTCACAAGGGTCCTCGTAAGGGTAGAGGTCCATCAATATTAGCAAATGCGTAAACGATAACGAGTCACCACTTCCGATTGAATTCAATTAAAAAGGGCAACCAATTGGTGAGAATAGTAAAAAAATTTCTACTGGCATCGGAATAATAGCACGACAGAATGTTCCAACTAGCTCAAAAAAGTGGAAAGAGGCTTCAGCTGAGAAAGAACGACTCATATGGACATCTATAAAGGTATGTTCTTTCATTTTATGTGATATATTTGTTTCATTATAGGTGTTTGTCCTAAGATTCAGTTTTAGAATTATAATTGAAATAAAAGTGATGACCAAATTTAATAGCACAAACCACCATTCATAATTGGACCTAAGCCATTAATGATAGGAAATTTTCCCAAAAACTACTGATTTTTTGATTTTAACACTAAATGCAGCAAAAATTTGAAGTCCCTAATTTTCATAAAAAGGATGTTTTTAGAAGAATGGGAAAGAGTTGGGGTGATTATAGAACACGCCTTACAACCGACATATATAAGTCAAATGGAGATACAGAGGCTATTGATTCATTAAAGCCTAACAATATACAATCAATCGATGAGTGGCACCAGTTTGTGAGTTATCGACTTTCTAATGACCATAAAGTAAGTAAAATATTGATCAAATTATTTTCTCTAATAACTTATTTTTCTTTAGAAATTAGTAATTATATTATTTGTCTATAGCGAAAGAGAGAAAAATCTCAAGAATTGCGAAAGAAGCAAAAGATGTCTCACACAACAAGTCGTAAGGGGTATGCTCGTCTAGAGGATGAAATGGTAAGTAGAACTAATTATTCCATCTTTCTTTTCTTCTTTCATCCCATGTAAAGATCTTGTTGTTTGATTTTGTACATGTATCAGACATATTTTGTATCGATATTTTGTATTTAATCATGTGCTTTGGAAGCTTAATGGTGCATTATTAGTGGAAATTTAAGGAATATAAGTTATACAACTAGAAAAACAGTAGAGAGAACCCACAGTATTTGCAAGGTTTGGCCATAAAGGCCTGTGTCCATGATAGGAAACCAATATTGTTATATTTTAAATCCTCACGACCATACACACCAAGGTATCAACACACCAATTACAATATACTTCAACTATGCCACAAGATAAGATAGAATTTTCAGCTCAAAGTATACAAAACAGGAAATCTTAGCTTCAATTCTCTACACCAATAGGGATACAACTTTCAAATCACAATGCAGCTTCTCTTGATGCTTAAAATAGATTCCTACAACTTTGTCTTAACCAAAGAAACTTGCTTGTATGTATTATACAATTAGATAAGCAAGGTAGAATAATGATAGCTCACAAAAGACTTAAACCCTAAAACCAAGGGTAGAAATGTCACTTTATAATTCAACTTCAATTCAGACCTGTAATGTACTTCCACTGTTATATATATCACCAATGTACACTTGCTCAATAGAAAAGACCAATTTGAATAGCAAGGTAACACAATGTAACCACACAAAAAGTTTCACCTTGATAAACCTTAACTTATAAGCTTCCATGGGCAATTCTGTAATGTAGCCTCAAGGATAGTCCAACCTTCACTCCCCCAGTCTTCAATAGATTAATTACACTTGCTCAGTTGATAGGAGCAACACAGATAGAAGGGTAAGGCATTATACAACTGGATACACACAAAACCCCAAATAAACCCTAGCTTGGTTGTAACGACCCGGTCATTTGCCTTCCTTTCCTTTTTCTTGAAATTTTATGAATGAATTTTTTTCGTTTAATTTTCTTTTCTGAGCTCTGTTTCGTGTCGCTTAGTGTCATCTCGAGTGCTCGGAATTGGTTTATGAAATTCTTTCATGTGAATTGACAACTTCCTTTGAGGACCGAGTCATTTTCGCATTTTTCATTTTTCGACACTATTCATTTTTCGTCATTTTCCCTATTTTGTCGTTTTCCCTATTTTGTCTTTTCCCCATTTGACACTTTGTTGGCGTAACCACACTTCTTGTGTTCGGAGTTGGCTTTTGACTTCATGTATCTCCATCTTGAGTGGTTTCCACGAAATACATATCTTTACTTTTGCAAGAAAATACTCTGGTTGCTCCCGGTGTCCATAGGGGCATGGATGCAAAGTTCTTTGAAATTATTTTCTTTTCTTGGGGTGTTTTTCATAAATATATTTTGAAGATATTTTATTTCTGGGGTTTTTAAGAAAATATTTTTGGAAGATATTTTTATTCTGATAAGTGCAGTTTTCACTTTTTGGAGGGGCCATTGTGCAATTAATGAAAGTTATTGCAAAATGTCTTGTTTTGAGCTTGGATCCTCGTACGGGATTCATTTTTACATTTCGTCAAGTTGTGTACTCTTAGGATATCCTCCTGGTCGATGTTTTCCAGTTTCAGGGTTTCTGGCCCCGGTTTGCACCAAACTTGTTTTGGGCATAACTTTCTGCTCGGGACTCGGTTTTCGATAAAAGGGGGGTGAGATATTTCATTTTTCATCTTCTCGGGACTCGCTGTTTCTTCCATTATTCATATTTTATCATTTTAAATCTTTTTTGTTCGCAAAGTTTTGCCATTTGAGTTCGTCTGCTCAAATTTTACTTTTTCAGACCCGACGGGGCCCGTTCGGAGCACTTTTTTTTTTTTTTTCTATAAAAGGGGGGTGAGATATTTCATTTTTCATCTTCTCCCCTCTTCATGCATGACCTGGAGCTCCCATGGCAGCCCAAGGGGTGCTGCCATCTTCTCTCTGCTCTTTTGGTTCACTTTTCCTTGATGGAAAGTCTTCGGCCTTAACATTTGTTGTTCCCCTCGCCGTGCTCTACCTTTCCCCCTTATTAGAATTCAATTTTGACCATTTCTTGAGTTTGGTTTTGAGGTCAAGTTATAATTTTCATGGGGCTTTCATGGGGGTTATGTTCACGGCGTTGTCTCCAACAAAACCTAGTAGTTTCGTCAGATTCGGAGCCGTTCCATTTTGGTGGGCCTTTAGGATTTTCATCTCAAATTGAGGTAGGAGATGTTCTAGGTTTAAATTCTTGTTATATAGCATGCTTGTGATGCTTATACTACTTGTTTGCATGATTAAATATAAAATCTAGAGATTTTATTATTTATTTTTCTTGTACGCGATCTAATTTTTCCGGTTACTCATGACTTGGTTTAAACATGTAGCATGATTTTATATTGCCTCTTGATATGCTCATTGGCGTGTATTAAAATTGAAACATTTGAATAAGTATTAAAGATTTTATTTAATATTTATCTTAGGTGAAAGATTAATTCACATGGCCTTAACTAGCTTAAAATCTATATGTGTTAGCATATTAAATTAGGCCTTAGCATGCTCTCCAACATAGTTGAATTTGAAAGTAATTGGAGGGGTTTTCAAAATTAGTAATTATTAATTAATTTAATTAATTAATTTGCCCCGAGTGCACTATTCACTCTATTTGAATTCCGACTTGATATTCTTGATTTACATGCCATATAGCTTCACATATATTTGATTTAGAATATTCGGTTATGTTTTGAAACCTTTTATTTAATTAAATTCCATGTTTAAGATTTAATCCTCGTGGTGATATACAACTTGGAATTGAATTCTGGCATGCTAGAAAATTAAGCTTTGGTGTGGTTGTTCACATATATGAAATTGGGATTAATTGCATGAGAATTGCAACCTTTATTTTATATTTAACTTTAGCGAAAGTTTAATTTACATAGGTGTAACTTGCATGAAATAAGCTTGTAATGTGATATTACATTAGTCCTTGGCATGTTCTCTAAGATATGTTAAATTAAGAGCATTTGGTTAAGTTTAAAAATCTAGAGATTTTAATTAAAAGAATTAATTAAAATCTATTTTGTGGTCCTATTAGCTTAATTAAGGTTTTAACTTAATGTTTGTATTGGCCATGACTTGTTTACTACTATATATTAATTTGGGACTATTTGAAGTTGTTTTAGAACCTTGGGATTTAAATTACTATGATTTAATTAAAGTTCTACTTTGTTGTTCTAACAACCTAATTGAGTTTTAGAATGGATATAGGTGATGACATTGCCATGCCCTTTAACATGTATTAAATTGAGGTTAATTGAAATTGAATCAGAAATCTAGAGAATTTAATTATACTTATCTATTTAAATTCTTTCAATTTGCTCCATGATCTAGTTGTGTTTTAGAAGTGGTTTCTATATTCAAATCATGGACTTAGACTTGTTGTATATTCATTTGGTTATGTTTTGAACATTGGCTAACATAGTTACTATGTTTGTATTCATGAGAATATGTTTTCGTTATTGAATATATTGTTGCCTTGTGTAATGATTTGCAGACTTCATGTTTAACATCTTTCATGCATAGCGTGTAACGAATTGCACACTGAAGATTCGACATTCATCATATAATATTAGTTGTGGATTTAGAGCTTGTATTGTATAGGTTTCCAAAGTTGGTTGTGCTTAGTAGATAGTTGATTATCTTGCATATTCCTGTTGATATATGCGTTGTTGCATAACTTGTTGATTTTGGAAACTTAAGGATGTCGTTGTTTGACTATGGCTAGGACGTGGTTCTGGTATAGGGGATAGTCCCTTTATATATAGTCTAGTGCACACATAGGGAGGTTACCTATGGGCTAGTAACCCTAAAGTAACTATGTTGTCGGTCTGATCCGGCGTGACGTCCGAGTATCCACTTTGTTTGATTTCGCATTTCATTTTCAAGTTGATAACTAGATGATGTTGTAACTTGTTGTTTCTTATTTGTCATTCCATTTTAAGTTATAGGATGTTAACTTTGCGAAATTGTGCTTTATGCGTTGTATTGGAAGTTCCAATGTTGGTTAAATTGCATCGATATTGAAAATTGTGTTTTGACGTTCTAACAAAGCTTAGGATTGATCCTATTAATTCATTTATAACTTAGACGTTAGGTGGCATGACCCACTTCTGTTGTTTTCGTGCTTTAGATTTCAAGCTGATAGCTTTAAGAAATTGTATTTTGTTGCATTGTATAATATGCTTTTATGTGGTTAGATTGCAAGTTAATACCATTAAGAACCTATATCTTGTTTCTTTGTATAACGTGCTTCCATATTGTTTAAATGGCATAGATGATGTGATTTATGTTAGAAACACTCTAAGGTAGCTTAGGATGCTCCCTGAGTCTCATTTCGATATAGATGTTAGGTGGCATGAACCCCTTTAACATGTTT